AAACCGCACCCCTTTCTCAATTAAAGCAATTTAAGGGCTGGAGACGTGAGTAAAGTCACTGGGACCACAAAATCACCCACACAAGCAGTTTGTTTAAATTAGGGAATTAGCCGTGGGTAAGTGAGGACGGTCCACTGCAGGGCTGAGACCCAGAAAGGGATTTGGAGAGGCTGTGAAACCAGTTCTCCAGCATCTGCTATCAAAATCACCAGCAGGCAGGAAGGCTCTGTCGGAGTTGAGACATCACAGAAAATTAGCACTGGCTCTGCCACTCCAGCACACTCCTGATCTCACCCAGCCAGTGCTCCAAAACACACCAGCTTGGTGATTAACTGGTGGATTCAATCAACAATGAAATCAACATCACTGTAAGCACTTCGGGTGGTCAGCTTTGGTGCTCTCACGTGTGTTTGTCACAGGCAAATCCTCTGAAAATGAGGGAGGTTCTCAGAGAATTTACATGGAAACCACTTAATGTAAAAAGGTATTGTCACAGTCACTTGGCCAACAGTGTCAGCTACCTGGCTCTGTAGAGAAATCTCCCAAAAAATCAAATTAGCTAAAGGTACAAGCTGTACTTGGCCTCCGAGGAAGGAAAAAAAAATCATAATTCTCTGCAGTGCTGATTCTGTTGATCAGTCCAAGGGTACCTACACTGACGGCACACTGCAGTTGGACAGTGCTGGGGAAGGCTCCAATCACACTCGGCCTGACACAGAGCGAAGGACACTCAATACTAACAGAGCTAATGCAATTCCCCCCAGCTGAGCTTCCATGGGCAGACATCCTCTTTGCAAACATCAATCTAAAAAATATAATATTCTAAAATCTTTTAATGTAAGAGACACTTCAAAGAGGCAAATGAAAGATGTGAGAAAGCTGAAAAAAAAACCCAACTTTTTTTTTAGGAGAATTCTGTTTAAGTAATAATTAACTTTCATTAAACAAAAGATTCTAGTTTTCTGGAAGATTTCCAATCTTCACCTCAGAAAATCCCAGGCTAGAGAGATGCTTGGATCCTCTGCAAAAGTCATCTTCACCTTTGTCTGTATACAGAAAGCATGGAGCAGACACATCCGACACTCATTGCTCCAATCTGATCAATAAACAAAAACACTGTCCCCATGGTTATTTTTAAAAGGGGAGACTTAAGAAGGAAGGAGGAGACAGAGGAGTGGGATACATTAATACTTTCAGATTTTTTTCAGTGCTCATCATTTGTATAAAGGTTTGGCAAGTATCAGTAGGCAGGCAGGTGCTTGCTAAGTGTTGATTTTGCACATGCCTGTTATTGCCATATCCAGATACCTACATAGTCTTCCAGTGACTGAGTATCCACCCTTCCACTGTCATATATCTGAACTGCAACTTGAACAAAGGCTTCATTTTGCAATCTGTAGTCTTGAAAGCTGTAGTTTAAAAATATAGGGCAATATTCTACAGCAATAGAAGATTTAGCAGTAAACATGCAAAGTTTTGATCCTTTCCTATTAAAGAAGTAGCACAAACTCCAGCTATTCCTGAGGAAATGGAGAAAAAAAAAGCAGCTTCAAGATGTTATCCCCTCAGTTGAGACACACAATCCACTTGAGCAGGAAATACACACAGATGGGGTGGACAATCAGTCCCAGATGTACCGATGACAAGCTGCTGACATTTCAGAATTTCCCTTTGAATAGCAGGTGCTGGCTGAATATGCAGCAAGGCTAGAGCATAGAGAAAGAGCTTTTCTGAAGTCATTGCCTTGAATCACTGAACAGCAGCACTGCAGGAGACTGACTTCGAGCTGGTACATAACTTGATGCCAACAGTAAGTGACAAAGAACAGAAAAAAACAAACAAAAAGGCCCCCAACAATGCAAACACCTTCCTCAAAAACCACTTCAGATCATTTTAGATCTGGAGAGATTCATTATTACCAAAGCAAGAAGACTGCAACAGACCTGGCTGGGAAGGCCCACCTGGCCAGCACATGATCCAGAAGGAAAACTAGTTCAACACACATAGTTTCTGCCAGGTGGATTTAGAAGGGCCCCTTGAGTCATCCAGGACTCTCCTATCACTTGCACCCACAACATATTCCTTTTTGAAGTGGCAAACTGTCTCCTTTACACAACAAAGCAACTTTTGGTGTCTGCTCTTTGTTGCTTCTTTATTAAAGGAAATGGGATGGACCATTCTCCTGTTTTCAGTGATCTCTCCTCTAATACAAGCAGGAGCTGTCCTTACAACCACAATAATAAAACTCCTCTTTGCAGCTTCATTGACCAGTCCCCTTCTCAGAATGGTTTGGAGCAGGGGGAGAGAACAGGGAAAATGTCGACTTGAGGAAAAGAATAAGAGGCTGCTACCTAAACTAAAAACTTAATTGCTCTGTGCAGCTTTCTGCTAGTCCTGCTTTCCCAGAGGTTTCACAGTGCCATCAGCAAAACAAACCCAAGCCTGTGAAGAAGGACAGTGTCATATAAAGACATGTTTGAAAGGCAAATGCAGCTTGCTCACCTCAGATTTGGGGGACAGAACCTTTATGAGCTTCTCATAAGCACAAGAGGAGAATTCACCCACTTCACAGCATTTCTTATGCTGCCACTGTGATGGTGCTGTGAGTGGGGAGGAAGGTACCTGTGGTGAAGGAGCAGCAGCTGGCCCTTGCTATGCTACTCAGTACCACGCAGGGAATTCATGCTGGAGTCCTGGGAGCTTGCTCCCATGCAGTGCTAAGAGTCCTCAGTTCTCACACTTAATCTGACTGGATTCCTCCTCCTCTTTTGCTTCTCCTTTTCCTTTGATATGCCTTCTCTTCACTTTCACTGGCCCATACAAGAATGTTACAGATGTGTGCCTTTTTCTCTGTGATCACAGACACACAAGAACATCCCATTTTTTCACCTGTTTTCATATAACTGCATGTATCTGCCTCATCCCTATTTTCTTATGACTGTGTATATCTGCCTCATCCCTATCTCCAGCACTGAACCAGTATCAGTAAACATCTCACATGGTCAGACCACAAAATACCAAGGAACACAAATCAGCCTTTGATCTCACCACTTTCTTCCCCAGTTGGAGCACTTGTGCCTGCATTTTTTTGGTAATGGCCCATCTTCGCGAACGAAGATTTGGGGCCTGCATTTACACATATGTACGTGACCACAAACATATACACACAGCTCAAGATCCTCTTGAATGCAGCCTCTGAACGTGGCATGAGGCTCTGACAGTGTGAAAGGCCTGTGCCACTGGGTCAAGAGCTCTCATTATCTGTTAGTGTGCTTAATCATCTCTCTTTTACAGAATTACTCCATCCCCAGTATCTCCTCTGACATCTCCTCTGCTGTTCTGTCCTCCAATGCCATTTACTGGACCCGAGCCAGCAGTCTAAGAACTCTTCTTGCTCCCTTTACATCTTGAGCAAAGCACATGGCTACAAAGGAAAATAGTGATACAAAGATCCACCATCTCAGAAAACAGACCAGCCTCCTTTCTAGGTGAAATGTGCCTCTCACCAAGATCCACTCTGATGAAGAAATCTTTACACAAGAGTGAAACAGAAAAACCACCAAACCCGAAAGGTGACCCTCATTTTAGTTAAAATGGTCCAAATTAAGGCTCAATTAAAGCCTCTTTTCTTCATTTCTGGGCAGAAAAAAACAGAAACATTTATCTTAGGCACAGACACAAGCAGGCAATCTTGGTTTTGCTGATACTTAAAATGATCAAGAAAGGATTGACAGCATCTCTAACATTCCCTTTTCTCCCCATAATAATCCTTCTTTTGGAAACAAGAAAGTTAACATTTGAAAACTGAGATTTACAATTCAGAAAAATAAGCATCTGATACAAGGAGAGAGAACGAGGGCACAGGATTCCCATTGCTCAGATCAAAAACACACGATACGATTATTCTGCCAGCTCCTGAAAAAAAGACAAAACCCCACAAACTGTATTAGATAAAACCATCAACAGTGTTTCCTCTCCAACTGCAGAATAACAACTCCAGTCCCTCTGACCTGAGCTGAGGTTTTCATGCCCTAGTAATTCTGGCATATGAGGAACACGAGCAGTTAGGCCTTATCTAAATCAGAGATAATTACACTGAAAAAGCATCATATCAGTACAGATCAGCAGCACAGATTTTCATTTACTCTCAGTTACAGCACAAAAGTATCACACCCCCTCTCACAATGTTACACCTGGCTCAGACATTGTAGAGAGGGAAAGAAGCTGCTTAAGGAGGAAAGGTGAAAAATTACTCCAAACCAGGAGAAAGAGGATTATCTTGAATGGTCTGCCACTGCTTTTTCAGTTATCTTTATTTTCATCATCATCATCCTTGTTTTACTTTGTAAAGATTCCAATGATGATAACAAAAGAAGTAGGTTGATTCCTATCACACACTTCAGAAAAAAAAAAGATACAAGCAGATATACCTGATCTTCAAGGAAATCATGACAAGGGCTGTTTGCTGACCCAGCAAACACAGCCTGGGTAGAAACATCTTCTGGGAAAAAAAGAAAAGAGGCACAAAACAAAACAGAAAAACAGCTGTGAGATAAAAATGCCTGTATCTGTATCACTGCCATCAAAGTGTCTCACAGAATCCTTGCCATAACAGACTTACTCTTTTTGTCAGGATTTATATCTCCTAACACATACTTCTTATATTAAGCATGGAGTAAGGAAGCGAGGAGAGTTCAGGCCTCAGAATTAAACAGTTTAGTCTTGGAACATTGTTTTCTTGATATGACATGTCACCCAGTCTGGCTAGAGTTGCAGTAATTTAGAAGAAATATGTGCAGTTGTGAACTAATTAGAATTTATGGGGTGTTGTGCCCCCCAGTGATGAGCAGAAGAAAATTTAAAATTAACAGAAGCCCAAATCTAATATCTTTGTTTCTGGTGACATTTCCCTTAAAACAGAGAGTTATCTACACATTGGCTTTTCCCCACGCAAAATTCATTTTAGATCATTCCCTACCCTCCCATTAGATTCACGCAACGCTGAAAATTTCTGATTTTTTAGTTTTTATTATTTCATTTAAACATTAGGTTTTGGGCAAGATGGGAAAAGAGCAGCACCTTTTAAAAAAAACCTGTTGTGTGTTATATAGGACAAACAGGTGAGATTTAAAAAAAGTTAAGTTTATATATGTACATATACACACATACACTAAACCAAATTAAAACCAAAAAAACTTGTGAGGAGGTCATTTTCAACAGGAGAGAAGAAAGCCTTATTTCACAGCAAGCAAAAGCACCACAAGTTAAGATTAGAGTGCACAATCACATGTAGTGCAGATACCAAACTAGCCTGGGTCCTGGAAGCAGTGTAGCTAGAGCAGCACAGAGCTCCATGAGGGCCGTCTTATCCCACTCCTTGGCAGAAGCAAGTGCAGAGCCTGCACTTAGGAGGGTGTGCTGTGCAGGCACTCCCACAGCTGGCTGCTCTGCCTCCATCAGTTTTGGCAGATGCCACAAGACGTAGCAAACCAGTGAGAATAGGAGACCCAGAGCTAAGCTACAGACTGACTTAGCTACAGTATTTCTGTAACGGAGGTTTCCGAGTTCCCCCACGTCTCTTGGGTGCTCCCTTGTAGGTACTGCCTGCTTGGGTCACACAGCAGACAGCTCTTGATTATTTATTATTTGTGCACTGAGGTGCCCATTCTTGCCTACCTGCACCCTTTCCTATCTCTCTTTCACTCCACACCACCACTTCTATTTCCTCCAGGCTGACAGGGTAATAAAATTAGGAAGGGGCATGTACACCTAACTAAGGGGAATTGTCAACAACCAATGAAGCTTAAAAAATAATAGCAATTCTTAAAAAAACCCAATTAAAAAACCTGTTCAAGTTCTGCAGACTTCTGGCAGAGTTTGGTCATTTAGCCCAGAGGTCTTTGTCTTCAGGGCCCACAGGCTAAATTGTCTCCACTGGCAAGAAGCATGCAGTACATGATAAAATTCTGACTAAAAGAAAAAAGTAGTACAGGCTGGGAGGAGAGGAGGCTTTAACATGGAGACCCCAAAGTGCGGCAGCAGCACTTATGCTACCCGGTACGCTTTCAAGAGGGTGAACTCCTTCCTGTTGGTGCGAGCTGCCCAGATGAAAAGAGCAGCTGCCATGAACTGCAAAGGTGCCGACACACAGGCGAGGCAGAAGGACCAGCCAAATTCGCCCCTCACGTCATCAGGCAGAGGCAGCTTCTTGTGGAGCAGTTCAATCCCAGCTACGTAGCAGCCAACGAGGCCCAGTGTACAAAGCCCTGGGGAAGGAAGCGGCAAAGCACAATGAGCTCACCCCTGCAGTGCTCTGGTGGGCACAGTGAGCTTTGAGAGGAGGATGGCAGGACACCTACCTGCTAGGAAATGCAGGACTCCAGTGGCAATGGCTGGGTAAAGGCTGCGACAGGCACAGGCACAGAGCCCAATCAAAGCCCCAAAGCACATGAGGCCGATGCTGACAAAGGGTAGGAGAAACTGCAGTCGCCAGAGATCTGAAAGAAACACACAAGACAAGTTTGCTGAAGATGTGCTAGAAACTGATCTTCTCCCACCATCTTACATTACCTTCTACCCATTCTGCTTCTTCTTCACCAGATATTCTACATTCATAGCTAAAAAGGACCAAAGGCTCCACTGAAGTAGAAAGAACTTAATTTGTTAACTCCCAAATTCCTGTACTGCATTCATGGGCAAAGCCTTTGCTAACACATCTACATTTTCCTTTCAAACTTTGATCTCCTGCCTGTGCTACTGTAAAAATAAATGCAGAGCAAGATGCAGCAGCTTTTCTTACTAGTGACTGTATTTGAGAAGCAGCTTTTTTTTTATTCTACTTGTTTATCTGCCAGAAGTGAAAGACACTTACAAGTCCGATTCAAATCTGTGCCACTATTGTGATTTCCAGGCTCAATGTACTTTTCCATAAACTGATCAGAGAGGGAAAAACTGATGCAGTTTGTAGTCATGTCGTTTTCTGGGAGGGAAAAAAGAAAAAGTTACCATTAGGTGTCTTCCCTTCCCTCTCCCCCCACCTTTCAAATCCTCCTTTCCCAATCATTTGAGCTGGGAAGCTCTTGAAGAGTTCGATTGAGAGAAAAAAATTATGTCTCAAAACAGCTCTGTAGATGCCTTACTATGATGTAGTTAGCATTCAAACATGCAGGATCTTCAGGTTTACCTGGGTTATCCATAGAACTGTTCCATGCTTGACAGATTGGGAAAGAAATGTGGCATATGATGCTCAACTATGCTGCCACATATTCTTGTGCTCAGAGTCCCTTAAATAAGCTGTGCTTATCTCCATGTGCAGAATGTAGTCTCATACTAAACATTTAATTCAAAAACGGGATATAAAGAACTATTTAAAGAACAGGAAATATTTACTTCTTTACACTAAGTTTCTCCCTTTTTACATCTCAGTTAGATTTTGCTTTGAGGATACTATTGAGCAGAGCTCGTTTAAATGTCTTCCAAAATAAGTATTTTCATGAGAGGAAAAAAAAAAGAATTTCACATTTTTTCTTTAGAAAATGTTGTTGAAGGTACATTTTTAAGAGGGTTCAAAATGAAGGGCTTCACACACACAATACGTACACAAAATCTACTTTGAAGCAATTAAAATAACTGTTTACCACACCTATTTTCCCCCAACCATTGTGAAAAATATTACTAATATTTCAGTCCATATCCATTCATATCTAAAATGTGCTGATGCAATGGTAGGATATTTGTGACATGCAAACAAAGCTAAAAGGAGTGAGTTCCTCCTTGACAAAGTGGTATCTTTACTCCACTGCTGGATCCTAGGATCTGTCCTAAAAAGACAGTGACTGGTACAGCAGCTGTAACTGTATCCCAAGCTGGACAGCTGATGCAAAATAAAAATCAAGCTGTGTAAGACTAAATTTAGATCAAGTATGATGCATCAAATCCAGAATCTGCAGTAGTGACAGCCACAGACCATTTTGCCTGTTGCTCCTTTAAAAATCTGGACTGTCTTTATTAAACAAACAAACTAAACATAAGCTAGCCTTCTGGAGGAACAAAGTGGCACGAATACGTTCTGAGGAAGTTAGCACATACCACCCCAGGCAAGCTAGGGAAGTGTTAATTGCTCCGGAGATACCTGGTGGGCTGTACCAGTGAGAGTTTTTGGGTACAGTGATACACCTCCGCCACAGTCCAACCGTGCCGTTGCACCGGAAGAGCGCATCTGTGTAGGTCTTCTCATCTGCATCTTTGCTGAAAAACTCCTCCCAGATGCTTCTACCAGCTTCACTAACATTCTCAGCTGGGGACAGGGTGTGGTATTCGTACCAGAAGTCGGTGCCAATGGAAGCTGCCATGTAGATGGTGGAGATGAGGCTGAGCACACAGGCAATCACCAGTGCTGTGGCAAACCGGTTATCCATCATGGCGCCCTTCCTGCGGCATGGGAAGAGAGTGACAAGTGAGCAACTCTTCTGATGGCACATATAAAGTTATCTTAGCAGGGTCAAACTCATCGCATCATCCCTCTTTTATGCAATGTCGTGTCAGGATGTCCATGTCTTCCTCTTCCAACATGCTAGAATCAAAGAACACTGAGCAAATCTACAGTACTGGCTAGCACACATTGGATCTGCAAGTTCAGAGTATGGATAATATCCCAGAGAGTGTGCTCTCCCAGCCACACTGCACTAGCGGCTCTCTCTCAAAGAGCAACTGACAGAGCAACACCAACTCCATCCCCAAAGCAGATGGCACAGCCTGCTGCCATTTGTGATCCTGATTGTAAGGAACGTCAGAGAATCCATCCACAGCGTCCAGGCAGAAGACTTATCTTTCCTTAGGCGATTACCAAGGGTAGAAGTTATTTTTAGCCTGCCACCCCATACGGCTTTCACAGCTTGTGTTTACAGCAAAGATAAGAACCACAGGCATGCCAAAAAAGCTCTTCCAGACTGCTCACTAAAGCCAGCCATGCCAAAGCACTGGAATGCCTTAAGGGAAGCAGAGAAATGCATCTAGGCACTAGAGACAGAACATGAAGGAAGCACTGAAAGACAAATTTGAAGTTATGGTAAATGGTGCACTAATGCCACAATACATATTGTGATATTTCTGAAGAACTACAGCAATGCAGGAGGGTGCCCTGCTCCATGGGAATAAGGTGATAAAACTGAAAGGCCTCCATATGCTCCCACAAGGACTTTGCTCTGCCTCCTTCTATTAGGGGTCATTTATGCTCTCCTTTGCAGGGCTGTGTTCACAAATGGCATGGATTCGGGGTGAAAGGAGGCATGGGAAAATACAAATACCACACACTTATGACAATATTGTGACTTTAATGAGCAAGTGATTGGTAACACATGAAATCTTTTGCAGATAATGCAATGCACCAGACGACTCCTCTCAGATGCCTGTTGTTCTTATGCAGTTTCTGTGCTTGATTAAATTTATGGATTACTATGAATCAGGCTTGATGCACTAGCCAGAAGGAAAAAAAAAAAAAATCAATGGAAGCTAACTCGGCAGCTAGGCCGGTGGCAGGAGCTACTATCTAATCAGCTCTTGTCCATTGCTTGCTCTACCTCCCTTCTCCCACATACTTTGATCAAAATATTTTGGTCTAGTTTCTTTGCAAGTGACTGAACCGCAACTGGAAACAGCAAGTGCCTTAAAACTCAACGTTCTCAAGGAAAGACACCAGTGCTCAAGTCAGACCTGCCAGTAAGAAATTCTGAACTAAGAAACGAGGTGCAAACTAAAGCAGGGAGTTTCAAAGGCATCAATGTTTGCTGTTAACAATACCATTCTTTTTCTTTTTCCTTCCGTCTGCTCCTCTATTTATCTGAAACTGCCTAACAAGGAGGAGAAATTATGTGTACCCATATCATTCCCTATGCTTCATTTGCATATTAAATGAGGCACACTCCTTGTAATATCCATCTTTGAACTGCATCCTTAGCAACAAGCATGAATAGGACTGATTTTTGGTGAACTGACAAGAAGCACCCATTTAAAATACTGCAAAGTTTGCATACCACAACTCCACTTAAATAATAATCCACAAGCTGTGAACTTTTATAAGCTAACTTAAATACTGAGAGGGAGAACACATCGTATCCAGGCTTATTTATCCAGAAAACACACAATCAAGACCAGACTTGGAAGCAAATTCTCTGTGCAGTGTTTAAATCTTGGTTACGTACTTCCATTCTCTTCTGATATCCCAGCATCTAGCTCAAGGAACACAGGGTGTGGGATAAGCGGGATAGGGAGAGAGCACGTTGCTGTGTAGATCTGGCCTCACCATTCACCCACCACTGAATTCACTGAGGGATCCCCTCCCCTTCACAAACATCTCATGAAGCAAAAAGGGCATGTGGCACCTTCAGGGCCAAAGCTCCTGCCCAGCTGAGCTCAGAGCTGAGCAGATTCTCCAGGAACCCACTTTCACAGCAAGCAGCAGAACAGGCTGGCGAGCAGGCTGGTCTGGATTTTCCACTCTATTGCAGTCACATTCACTGCAAGAGGAACCCTCTGCAACAGACTCCTCTCTTTAGAAAGGGCTCTCTCTGGGTGGAAGGATCACAAGAACCTACAAGCTCCATCCTCAGAGTGGTGTCTAACGAAAAAGAACGTAAACAGGACATTATTGGGCCACTGATCTGCTGTCACTGCCTCTCAATATAAATGCTTATAATAACAAATGCTCAATAAATGCTTATAATAACAAAGCCCTATCAACTTTGTGCCTAACATACAGAAAGAAAAGAACTGACTCAAAAATCTTACTTTCAGATACAAATCCCTGCTGCCTGGTGCAGAACACAAGTGCTGGAAATGCTCCTATCAGACCACCATTAAAACACGACCACATCCCTCTGACCAGCCTCCTCTCTGCTGGCATACTGTGGACTTGGCAGAGCCGATGCCAGTTGGCAACCAAGAACAGATCATAAGCAAAATGAAGGGTTAATCACCAAACAGTAAATTAAAGCACTGCCCAGTGTTTATTATCCATTTGCTTAAAGGGATGTAGCAATCTACGGACGTTCAATCCCTGTAATATAACTCCAGGCACAGGCAGAGAGCAGCTAATGGGGCTACAGACCCCAAAATCTAGCGGGTGGCTTCATGTGGCATTTGTCCCAAAAAACATATGTAGATTTTCAGTATGGACAAGACAGTGCAAAGGCATGAGCACATCCCCAATTCCTTACAACAAAGGTCCCCTCAATGCTTCTACCTAACACTTCAACTGCTTACAGAAAAGATTAAGAACTCCACAACACTTCAGGCAAATTTTGAACTAGTTTTTCCTGCCACAGTCTATGCAGTAGACTTGACTACCCTGCCCATTCATTGTGTATATCCAATGCATCTTCCTGTACAGCTGACACGTTCCCACTTAAACGAAGTGTCCTTTTAAAAGGTAGAACCCTCCGCCCAGCCCCAGGCAGAGCTCAATGGCAGTGGCAAGCACAGTCAGTAAGAAATAGTTACCAGAGAAGACCATGAAGAAAGACACTGCACGTTCACAGGATTATGCCACACTTTGTAAAAGGTTCTGTACAGAACAATGTGTAGGAGGTGCTTTGGAATAAACTTACTTGCGAAAAAATAACATTACTGCCAAAGATGACATGAATTGTAAAGACATAAAGATTGATTACAAATAAAAATATTTTGTCTTTACAGGCTGCCAGCAAGACCCTTCATTGTTTTACAGAAGGTTTGTTCATATAGCACTGCCAGCACATTTTACTCTAACAGCAGAGGCTATTTCAAACAAGTCATGGCTGCAACTAAGCTGTGCAACGAATCTAAGACAACACAAGGCAGTTGTAAACAGGCAGAAGTGCTTCACATGATATCGTAACTATTAAAGAAGCAAAATGTAAAAATTGTAAAAGTCCACCTCACAAAGAGAAGGCAAAGGCCAAACTGGCAGCAACATTCAAAGGAATGACTGGATGCACGCACTTTGGGGCGGGGGGGAAACAAAGGGGGCAAGTCAATAGAACTGAAAGAGAAAAAATATGGAACAGAACAAAAACAAGTATTCTGGCAAAAAATCAACTTAAGACTGAAGAATGGACAGCTTTTGTAAGAAGTTACTGTACCATGGCAGAAGGGAATACAAAAACATGAAGATTTTTATCTTGTTACTGTGGTCACTCCTTTCAGCCAACAGTGGGCCACCACATTTAAAAAACTCCTGTTAGGTGACATCACCAAAGAGGGAGGCTGCGTCCACTGGCATTCTCTCAGGAAACATGCTTGCAACCTGACTGCTCTTTAGAAGAAGGGATTAGGGAGAAGGCCTACAAGAAGGTGTAAATGTGGTGAGAGAGCTGGCAACAGCACCGAACAGGATCATCCTTTTAATATGGGGAACAGAAGGTTAGGAAAGATTGCTACCAAACACTTTTTTACCTTCGGCGGTCCTCAGGAGTCCCTCAGGACACGCAGCTCCAATGATTCCAGGTGGCTTCAGAGGCACAACGCTGGTTGTATCCTGTGGCCAGCAGAGAGCACGAAACGCAAACTTCCCTTCTGCCTCGACTGTGCCATTCATTCAGCTCCTTCCACACCACCAGCTCACAACAAGTGATCTAGAAGCAGAGAGTAAACCGAATGGTTGGAGACAATTACTTAACTCCGAAATTACTAAACGGACACCTCTCAGTGCTATTCATTAAGGAAAAAAATGAAGGGGAGGGAAAAATGACTTGAAAAGCTCTAGGGTTTTTCACCACCTGCTGCACCAGGGCCAGCCCAGCACAGGGCCGGGCTGGCCGGGCATCTCCACAGGGCGCGACCACCCCCGGGGGCTCGGGCCTCACAGGCGACAGCCCCGCGCGAGGGGGCGGCAGCCGCCGGCTGGCAGCCAACGCGAGGGAAGCGCCCCGATCCCCGACCCCTCTGCCCCGTCCCACCGCCAGGAACAGCCCCGCTCCCAGAACCCACCGTCCGCCTCCGCCGCCTCGCACCCCCGGCCCGGCCCGGTCCGGCCCCGCTTCCGCCCGCCACGCCCGCCCGCGCGGGGCACCCTGGGCCATGTAGTTCTGCCGCCCCCTTCCGGAAGCGCCGGGCGGCGGCTCCACCACCGCGCCCGGCAGCTCATTCCCACATCCAGCCCCTTTTCTGTGGAGAAATTCCTCCTCGTGTCCGTCCTAAACCTCTCCAGGTGCAGCCTGGGCCTATGTTTTCTTTTTCTGTCGCTACTTACCTGGGAGAAGAGGCCTACCCCCACCTGGCTACGACCTCCTTTCTATTTATTTCTATTTTGCTTGAGTGCTTGTAAAAAAAAGGAAGGACTTGGGAAAACACCAAGTAAAGGAAAAAAAAAGGAAATTCAGTAAAAATTGCAAAAATTTGTCAACACTGGTTCCACGCCCCAAACTGGACATTTCTCTGGTACATGAACCCACTCGAATTGCAAGAGAACTCTTAAACGTGTTTAACAACTCCCCTGGTTGAGAGATCACCCCACCCAGTTTTGATTTTACAAACCCCAAACTAGCAAACAAATACTCAGAAAAACCAGAAAAATCCCAGGTTTTCACGCCACTGAGGACCTTCTGGGGAATTATCCCAACCAACTCCTCCACCAGAACAGCGAGGAAGCATTTTTGAAGCAACGTAAGAAGTTAGGATGGCAAAGGTGAAAGCAGTGATAGAAGAAACTTCTCTGACTTGGTGCAAAAAAAGATTTTTTAATTAAAAAAAAAGTACTGGAAGTAATATTATACTAAAGAAACCTCTGTCTATACACCCCACCTTTCCAGACCAAGGAACTGTCTCACCAACACCTCATAATGTAACTGTCTGCAAGGATGTATTTTGGGGTCTGACTGGCGTTTATTCTAGACTCCAAAATACTTACCGTCTTTATCGAGGGCCTGGAAGAAAGCAGAGCATTGTTGATAAACCTCACAGATGACACAAGGCCTGAGGGAAGGGTAAATAATGACATGGAGAGGGCACTGGTGCAGGGTGACCTGATCATTTCGCAGCTGGGGCAAGCAAACATGCATTTCAATAAGGTCAGTGATGAGCTCATTAATTTAAAAGCAATGACTGGAGGCTCACTGACATGAGACTTTATCCTGGGAAGCACAAAATGAAAAGGAAAAATGTTGGTGAATTACCAACTGCCAAGATAGTGCTGTGGCCAAAAAAACCCCAACTTTCCTGCAAACTCAGATGTATAAACTGAGACATAACAGGGAGGAAAGAAGTTGTATCACATCTGGAGTTGCTGGTGGGTGCTGAAATAGCATGTCTAGTTTTAACATGTTGATAAAGTAGAGATAAACCGAAAAAGGTATGTGAAAATCACTGAGCAATTAGAAAACCTCTCTCAATGAAATATATCACAGAAGGTCAGTCAATTTAATTTATAGAAGAGGAGTTTATTTAAGGAGTTAATTTATTGAACTAAGGAGTTGCAACACCATAAAATACATGTAATGGAAAGAGGGAACAAAAAAATCAGTAGCAGTTCTTTCTGTATACCTGACAAAACGATCAGAGATTGAAGCTAGAAAATGGTAAAAGGAAAAAAACAAAACCTGTCCATATTCTAAGCCATAGGATAATTGGAACCATTTACTGTAAGTCATAGTGAATTATCTAACATTGGCAAGTCTATAGGTTTTTCTCCTAAACGATCTAATTTTGTAAAAATGAGAATCAATTCTGGAAAATTTTGTAGCCATTGCTACTTTTGTTATTAAATTCGATTACAGTGGCCTCTTCTTTTTCATAATCTGCCCTGCTGAAAAGCATCCAGAGGGAAGAGATGTGTTTTCATTTTCATTTTATTTGTTTAAATTCAAATAATCCCTCCAAATTTCACTTGGATTATTTTTTTTTCCTGGAAAAATACCCTCCCATATTTTACGAGTAACCCAATAAAAACATTACAAATGAACGCACAGGGTCATTCCTTGCCAACAACAATCTTTTTTCTTTTTCTCTTTTTTTCACACTACTTCAGTCTGCCTCAGCAGAACCATTGGCCAATCAGTTTAGTTACAGAACAGGATCATTTGGAAAGGTTATAAGAGTAAAAGTTTGCTTTAGTGTCCAGAAACCATGGTAGTTTGCACAGGAAAGCGTGAAAAGAATAATGCTGAGGGCTATAGCTTAAATGTTGTTTCTGCTTTTTGTAAAAGTGAAGTATCTTCGATAGAAGACCTGGATCATGTGCATTAGTAAGTTCTCAGGCAGTGACAGACAGTTTAACATCAGAGTGCTGCAAGGAAGACAAACAAACCCCCAGTATGTTGCAAAAAAAAAAATTGTTTAGTACAAAACTTTTGTCATTTTTCTTCTCACGGTCTAAGGAAATAAGTAAGTATTTGTAGGAGGTGGCACCATCTGTATTAAATGAAGCTGATATAGGATGAGAAGAGAAAAAACCCCTTCATATATCACATTCACTTCAGGAATTATTGATTCAGATCTGAAAAAGGTGTTCAAAAGTCTGTCTTTTTTCCAATATTACTCATTAATTTACAAGATATTACATCTCTCAACAAATGTTCCTTTTGTAATAACAAAAAAGGCAGTTTTAGTTTTTGTGTTTTAGGCACCATCTATGAGCATTTTACATAGCCAGAGGGAGCAGAAAATCCCATGGATTTGTCTCAGACTTCCTTATACAGTTTTGTCCACTTAATTTCTGCCTTCTTTATTTTTCCTACTATGGCACAGAACACAGTAGGATAAGAAAATCCTACTGTAATTATAATTTTCACAGAGAGAAGACCTTCTAGATGCACTTCCTCCAAATACCATGAGTAGCACTGGTGCATTTTAATTATACTCACTTACGTCCATGGTCTCCAAACCTTTTTATCATGCACCTCATCTGTAAAAAGTTTGTGAGCAGGCACCCCTCTAATATGTATATATTTTTTAGAATTATATAAATTTACTACTGTACCAATAGATTATGTACATTATAAAACATATACAAAAATATAAACTATAAAGGGGGAGATAATAAATATTTTAAAATTAAGTGTACAAAAAATATCTTCTTCCTGCACTGCATTTTGTAGACCACTACTCTCAGCATGGAACTATTTCAACCTATCGCAATACGTTGTCTCAATGCCCATGATTTTAACTGAATTGGTTACAGCCTCTTCTCTTTGTTGAGGGGTGAAACTTGTGTTCGTTATCATTCACTAGTCACCTCTGAGCTTGCCTTCAACTGGTTATGGCATAGTAGGGCAGTTTCAGCCAATTTAGTGTGTTTTTTGGGTTGTTTTTTAATTAGGTCTGCAAATCTCTATTCCTTACATATTTTTGAGGCACAATAATTTAGAAACTACTACACTTTCTTTTACAGCCAAACGAACTTCTGTCCTTCTCAGCATTTATCATCATTAATAATTCACAGACTCACAGCTTATTTTATCTAGATGCCTGTACTTGTATAAAAGTGCATATACAAGCTGGAATAAGACCACATTTGAACTATCAGTAAAACAGAGAATGTAAAAGATAAAAAGGAACCACAAAAAACAAACTCACTCCTCGCTACCTGAAATGCTTCAATTGCAGAAATTTGTAAGGGGGAGGTGGTGTGTGTAACAAACTAAATCAACAATCCTGCATACTTCCTGTGCTGATAGTTCTGCTGCGCAGCTCTTTTATGGGTTTTGTCACAAAAATAGGTGGCTACCTGCCTGCAATACGTGTATGGCAAGCACTACAGAACTGTGAACAACGACATGAAATCTTTTCCCTTGCTACTGTTGGAAATACCTCAGCATTTCTTATGAGGAAGATTTAAGGAATGGTCCAGATACTGCCATGACAAATTTCACAGGTGCTTTTGAGAAAGGCAGGACCATAGTAGACCAATGCTCTTTAAAGCAGAACTGGCCAAATTCAAGGCCATGATCCCAGGAGCTACTCTGAGTGTCTGGTTACAGAAGCCTTAGGTTCACTCTCAGGTTCAAAACTAGTCAGCACCCAGCGGCTGCATTTTTTCAGACCTGTGTCAAGGGCTGGACAAGATGGGTATCCCAAATGGAAGAACATACACCCAAGCCAAGCCAGTAGCTGTTTTCTTCAGCAGAGAATTTTGTTCAGGAAAAGAGTTCACATGCATCTGGCAAAGTCTATGAGGAAAAAAATTCTGTGGAAATCTAAAAGAGCGAGGAGAGGATGGAGGCTTTCTCTTGATGATAAAACATCTCACCACATCTCTTGGATCTTTGGACGTTACGTGCTGAGCTTCCTGGAGAGTGTTATGAGGGGAATTTCGATGTACTCAGTATTTTTGAGAGCTTAGCTCTACCTCAGGGAAGTGAGCTCTGGGAAGAGTAAGACCCTACGTGATACCCTCAGTGAATCAATATCACAGACTGTAGGATTCAGCTGATCTTCTACTCTAGTACTAATAGAAAGAGAATGCATCTATTTCCCAGGGCTCCTGGGAAGAAAAAGCCTGAAACACATTCCTTGAAGTAGAAATAAGCAAAGATGACACAAAACTCACCTCTGCACTGAATACACCAAACATAATTTCTGTAAACTGTGAGCTACTCCTGCACTTTCACACAAGTCTTGTCTGGAAACTCGCTATATCTTTTGTAATCTTCAGATGGTGAGAAGATGAATTTTAGCCTGTGCTTTCTTACAGGTTTACACTTACATCTGTCACGTACAAATCACAATGTCCTCAACCCAACCTGATTTTAAGAGTTTTACGAATTTTGATCTGCATTCCCTTCTGTCAGCTTTGCCAGGGAAAGAATAAGCTGGCACATAAATCCATGCTGTAACTGACCTGTGACAAGTCTCATAGACAAAAAGACTTGCAGCAATAGTATCTGCTCACTTTCAGCACCACGGAAGAGACTTTTACTTTGCCTTGAAAATAAGAATTGTCTTTTAGGCAATCAGATGCAGGAGATTACTCCTAGAATAGCAATGAGGCATTTTACAAATCCATGGAATGTTATTTTTACTCTAATTCACAAGTGGACTAAC